AGGACTTCCTATCGAAGTTCTTGCAAGACAATGACAATTTGGTAGGGTCATTTTGACCTTCACAGGTTCACACTAGACAATGACAAATTGCTTACCTCAGACTACAAAATGGAGTTTCCCAGCCCCTCCTACCAGGTAATTTCTCTTCTTCTCAATAGAAAGCTCTTCTCAATTACCAGGTAATTTCTCTTACCAATAGAAAGCTCTTCCCATTTCCCTTTATTCTCCTATCATTCTCATGTTGGAATTAAACTTAGAGAGATAAAGAATTTTAAAGTTATTAGTGAAGGTTTAAGTCATAATCTCAAAGTTTTATAATTTTAAACTTTGGGAATCAACTTTACAAGCTAAAATGAATAATTGTCTTTACATTTTCACTTTAAACAATCGATGAAATAAATATTTATTAGATGGTGTAGAGGTTTATTTGATTTAATTGCTTAGATTATTGTTTCTATGTAATATACTCTTATTCATTCCAACAAGGTATAAACAAAAAGATATAGTAATAGTATTATATGATATTCTTAATTTATAATATAATATATTTTTATATAATTAATTATTTAAAATTTACTTATAATATTATTTGTATATAGTTATACTCATTTAATGATATTACATATATTTAATATTATATTATAGTTATAAATTTATCTTCTTATATAATATTATACACATAATATTATTGAATAGTAAAGATGGTAAAACAACACCATATAGGATTTCTTTTACCAACAAAGAAAACCAAAACATTGGGAAAGGAAAATGATGCCCAAAAGAAGTATTATCGAAACATATCAATGAAAACCACCAAAAATATGTGGCAAAAGCGGAGAAAAAGGGACCCAAACTTGAATTAAATTCATAATTTACGTCTTAAACTTTAATTATACTCAATTAAGGTCTTAAACTACACAAAATTCTCAATTAAGGTTCGAATTGTACGAAATTTTAACTGCCTTGTTAAATGCCTTATTAGGACATCACTGCTGGTTACTCTTTGCATTTGTGGAATGCCATGCAGGACTTCATTGACTTCTTAGGTTTTGTGGATTGCTTGTAATAGAATTTTTAAAGGTGATGTGGTAAAATTTTGGATGATATGGACTCAAACATGGCACTTTTGGTAGAATTAATACAATTTTAATATTCAAATAACATGACTGTGACATAATATTTTATCAATTTATAATTAATTTATATGACAAATATAAATTTATTTATCACTTAATTAAAATTATTTAGGTGATAAATGTTAACAATTGTGTTAATTTTTACATTTTCTTAAAAAAATTATTATAAAAAATACAAATTAATTATAAGAAAATATAAAAATTGACATTATTTTTAATATCTTTCACTTAAATAATTCTAATTGAATAATAAATGAATTTAAAGTGAAATTATATTTTTTATACAAATTAATTATAAATTAATAAAATATTACACCACAATCATGCTATCTAAATATCAAAATTATATTAATTCCACCAAAAGTTTAATATTTGAATCTATGTAACTTAAAATTTTGCCATATCACCTTTAAAAACCCATTATAAGCAATCCACACAACGTAAAAATTTAATGCACTCCTGCATCATGTGCTAAGAATGAAAGAAGTAACGAGCATTGATGTCATAATAAGGCATTTAACGGGGTAGTTAAAATTCCATCCAATTATCTCTTTAATTCAGAATTTTGTATAGTTTAAGACTATAATTAAGTGTAATTGAAGTTTGAGACCTAAATTTCGAATGTAGTTTAAGTTTGGGTCCTTTTCTCCTACTTTTGCCAAAATATATTAACATAGTAGTATGCGACCAATGATTCTTAAAGATAAATAAAAAGAAAAGAAAAGAAAATAATCCCAAGATTACCAAAGGTAAGGTTGGAGGGGACCCACGGCGCAGTTTGACGTGCGGACGAAGATTTTAAAGCCAACAAAGCCGTGTTTTCCCGTACTCCGCATAAATCTCCCACTCATTGAATCCAGCACAGGGATTGGCCTGATCCCGACGTAACGTTGACTACACGCTCAATCTCTACGATCTCACGTATACTCGACCTTCTCTGATCATCCCACGTCAAGGACTATGGTTCGAGGCGGGAGACCGGGACCTCGCAAAAAGCCAACAAAAGGACTCCTCGGCTTTCCTTGCATACAGCACTGACTTCGCGGGACTCATTTCCGCCGAGGAGAGCAGAAATCACAGAGAAAAGCAGAACCAGAGCAGCGGAAAAAAGGAACGGATTCAACAATGGCGTCACCGCCGTCTCCGACTTCGTCTTCGTGCAGCTCTTTGTTCTCGTCTTCAACGTCGTTGTCGTCGTCTAAGTTCTCTCATCTCCCTGTGATGGCGCTCAGGGGGAAAATCGTTGAGAAAATCATGGAGAATCGCGTCACGCTCATTATCGGCGAAACCGGCTGCGGTACTTTCCGTTCACTGCTTGTTCATTTTCAGTACTTTTGTTTCTAATCGCTGATATTGCTCATCAAGCCGTGCAATAAGGCCTTTTTTTTTTTTGTTTGCTGATGAAATTCATAGAAATAATTTTAGGCTCTATCTGGTTGATCAAGTGCTTGGAAATTGTTTTTATTGTTGTTATGGTCTTAGAATTAAACTTGCATTAATAAGTCATTTTATCTATTTATTTTTCAGAAACAATTTTTGGCAACTGAAATGGTGCTTAAATTACTTATACTTAGTCACCATTTAGCAGGCGAATGGACCTTAAGAACATAATTATTGTCTTTATTAGTTTCTAATTCTACCTGTTATATGTTCTGTGGTGTTAATTAACCATTTTATTTGGTGATTAATGTATATTTCTACTTCTAAGCAAGAAGGGATATAAGATGTATCTGTTTAAGCTATAGTGATTGTATATGCCTGAGATGAGTAGGTCTTTGATTTTTATTTAATCATCTTTCTTTTTCAATTGCTAATGCAAATTTTTTTTTTTAATTTTTAATTTTTATTTTTATATAATTTTACCTTTTGCAAAAGGGAAGAGCTCTCAGGTTCCACAATTCCTCTTGGAAGAAAACTTGTCTCCCATTTTATGTACGCAGCCCAGGAGGTTTGCTGTTGTAGCTGTTGCTAAAATGGTTGCAAAATCTCGTAATTGTGGATTGGGTGGAGAGGTTGGATACCATATTGGTCATTCAAAGCACTTGTCAGAAAGGTACTTCATTGCCGGTGTAATAAACTGATGGATAACCATTAGGTTTAATAACTTGGCCTGGAAGAGAACTGTCCTGACGCAGAGTCAAAGAAATTTTTACTTGTTCATTCAGTTTCTCATCCATAAGTTACAATAGAATTGCCAATATTTAGATACAGCAGGCATTTTTTGACCACACCTAAGTAAAAAAAAAAAAAAAACTCATCATAGTTATAAAATATGGGGGACCTGTAGTTTAATGTGCTTTAGTTTTCTCTGAATACATTTTGACATTTTTACCTTTCATTTTTGGAATGTGTTTTATACAACTAGAAATGTCTCTGCTAATTTTGTTTTGTTGTATAGATCAAAGATAGTTTTCAAAACTGCTGGAGTTTTGTTGGATGAAATGCGAGATAAAGGGCTGAATGCTCTCAAATACAAGGTTATTATTCTTGATGAAGTGCATGAAAGATCTGTTGAGTCCGACCTTGTTCTTGTTTGTGTGAAGCAGTTTCTGCTAAGGAGCAAAGACCTGAGGTTGACATTCTGTTTGGATTATCCTCAATTCTCTCTTTCCTATTTTCTTGCAGTAAATGTCAGTTAAGCTTGTTGTTTTCATCCATTTATTTTCCATGCTGATAAATTTGCAAATTTGCCAGGGTGGTCTTAATGTCTGCAACTGCTGATATTACAAGATACAGGGAATACTTCAATGACCTTGGTAGAGATGAAAGAGTAGAAGTGCTGGCAATCCCAAGCACAAACCAGAAAGCCATTTTCCAGCGAAGGGTTTCATATCTTGAGCCGGTAATGCAAACCTTTAATGTTTTTGTATACTATATTTAATTGCTTGATTGGAAGAAGTTTAGAAACTTGGGAATGAAGAACTCATTGAAGTGTTAAAGTTGATGTGTTGGCATTAATACAAAATGTTTTAGGAGATCATTTTCTGTGCAGCATGTTTGTAGCCTATCATGAAGAGTAGGTGAATGAGGTCTCATTTGTCTTTTTTGGCCATGTAGAATGTCATGACATGTTAGGTTTATGGGATAGGTCAGAGAGGCATTTCCAAATTTTCAAGGGAACGTAACATTTAAGACATTCCTTGTTTACGCGAGATGAGTATGTTAATGCTTCTTAACAGGTTGCCGACTTTCTTGGAATAAGCTCAGAGTTAATATCATCATACTGTTCTGGTCCAAGCCCTTCCATGGCAGATGCTGAAATTAAGCCTGAGCTGCACAAACTCATTCATGATTTGGTGTTGCACATTCATAAAAATGAGCCTGACATCGAGAAGAGCATTTTGGTTTTTCTTCCAACATATTATGCCCTGGAGCAACAGTGGCATCTTCTGAAGCCTTTCAGTTCATCCTTTAAGGTTCACATTTTACACCGTAGCATCGACACAGAGCAAGCTCTTGCAGCTATGAAAATCTGGAGAACACATCGTAAGGTCTGCTTCTTCATCTTCTTCTTCTAATTAAAATTGCTCATATATTGAGTTTATATTTGAGTAGGTTGAAAAGAAAAAAAATTTCTTCCTCACAACTTTAAATGTCAGCTAAATATCTTGTGTGATAGTGGGTGTTTTATTAAGTACTGTTTTGTGCAGGTAATATTGGCAACAAATATTGCAGAATCATCTGTGACAATACCCCAAGTGGCCTATGTCGTTGATTCATGCCGCTCTTTACAAGTCTTTTGGGACCATGCAGGGAAAAAAGATGCTACAGAGCTTGTTTGGATTTCTAAGTCTCAGGTATTTTAAAAAATCTCAATCATTCTTTTTTTCCCCATCTACTTGTTTCCTCAGTTCCAAATGGTGCTGTAGGCCAAGCAACGAGAAGGGAGAACTGGTAGAACATGTGATGGCCATGTATATCGGTTAGTTACAAAATCATTTTTCAATGAACTTGAGGATCATGAGCGTCCAGCTATACTGAGGTTGTCATTGAGACAACAAGTGCTACAGATTTGCTGCGCTGAATCCAAAAGTATTAATGATCCCAAGGGTATGTGATTCTTATTTTATATATGTTGTACCACTTTGCTGTTTTCACTTGCATGTTAGATTGCTATGTAGTTGCCCTAGGTGGAAAATGGATCTGTTTTTCTTGTGTGGATGGAATCTTTCTGGATTTATGTGTTGGATAAGAGACATAGATTACGTTTATAAACTTATACTTTATGAATCTAATGACTCTATTAGTAGTTTAAGTTTGAGAGCTGCAACATGATTTTTTTTTTTTTAAATTTTTTGGGGTCCAACATTTGTTACAAGTCTAGCTAGAAGGTGGTATTTTGTGTACAGTAATACTCACTGGCTTTAACTCTTTATATGGTGATTTCTTAATTCTGAATGACCCCTAAAAACTGTTTTTTTTCATTAGTCTTGTTGCGGAAAGCTCTGGACACACCAGAACCTGAAGTTGTTGTAGATGCATTGGATATGCTTGTTCATTTGAAAGCACTAGTAAGAACATCTCCAAGGGGCCGGTATGAGCCTACATTTTATGGGCGGTTGCTTGCCAGTTTTTCATTATCCTTTGATGCAGCTGTGGTTGTGCTCAAGTTTGGGGAAGTTGGAATGTTGCGTGAAGGCATTCTGCTAGGTCTATTGATGGATACAGAACCTCGACCAATTCTTCGTCCTTTTGGGAATGATCATTTGGTATTGAATATTGAGTAAATGAAATTTTCTGGTTTTGGATGAACTTTTTGTTTGATTAATTATTCCTTTTCTGATAAATTAATGCTTTACCTCAGTTTACAGAGTATGTAAACCACTACTTTAGTGGAGATAGTAACAACACCGTCCTAAATGGCCGAAGGGAGGTTCAGTTAATAGGAAACTTATGTGCATTCCAGTTTTGGCAACGTGTTTTTAAGGTATGTAAGTATCTGCTTAGTTAAGAGACATGATTTTTTAAATTTCAATGAACTTTGAATTTGGATTTGAACATATTGCCCTTATCTAAAGGATAAGCACCGTCTTGAGCATTTGAAGCAACTTCTGAGGATTGATGAAGTGAAAGAGACAACACTATTGCTATCTAAGATTGAAGAAGAATGGTGCTCTTTCCACAATCTTGTGCAGTCATCATTGCACCATGTCTCTGAAATCTGTATGAATCTACTGAATTATTATGCTTGCATCTTTTTCTTTACTCAGAAATAATGCTGTCTGGGAAGCTGTTTCTGGTGACATAAAATATATCATCCATGTTATTATACAAGTCTTCTTCCCTCTTTTCTTATTTTAAGAATTTAATTTATATTCTCTAAATTAATTTTTGAAAGTGGGTTTTCAAATTTCTGTTTCAGATGAAGATATACTAAACTCGGTGCACCGCTTTCGGCCTAAATTTCTGGCTGAGTCCAATGGTCTACCAAGCTACTATTATCCTTATGAATTTGAACACACCTGTCTTCTTCTATGTCAGCCATTTGGAGAAACAGAACTGCTTGCTGGAGACGATGAACATCTTGAGCAATCTTTGGAAACAAGAAAGTGTTTTGCCAGACCATTTGTTGCTTCCAATCACTTTAAGGCCAATGATGTGGTTAGGAAGTTGTCAAATACTGTAAAAGAGGTACAAAATCTGGTGCTTATTCTGGGTAATTGTTGTTGCTTTATCAATTGATCTTTTCTTTTGGTGCTTAACAGATACGAACTCAATATGCAGAAGGCATTTCTAGTAATGGCAACACAATTTTAGGCAATGATGACTCCTTTGACAACGGAGGTGCTCCTCAATGTGTGTTTTTTGTCAAGGGATGTTGCAATATGGGTAGCGAGTGCAGGTTTTCTCATTGTCTTGAAGCAAAAAGACCTGCTTGCAAATTCTTTTTCACTTTGCAGGTATCTCAACTTTTGGTGGACATAGATAATTGTGGTGGTGGGATGACAACTTCTCTTATTCTGTTCTATCATAGCATTGTCTCTCCTAAACAATTTGGGTTAAAAGAGTAAATGACTTGGATTATGATTTGAGTTGCCTTCAAAATTAATAATGAGTTTAATTATGTGCATGATGAGAAATTTTCTTTGACTCATGATTACAAGTACCGTGTTTCTAGCACTTGTGTCTTGTTGCTTTGATGCACAACTGCAAGAATCATCTATAAAGGTTACTTGTCTTGTATGTTGCTAAGTTGGATAACTACTGAGAAGTCATGAAGTTAATATATGTTATATCATAATTTAGTGCCCTGAGAGAGATACCTATTTGATGAAGTTCATTTATTAACGTTCTAGAGTCTTAATTCTTTTCAGTTTGCAATTCTTGAAATGCTAATAGTTTGTTGAAGCAGGTGAGCTATAAGTCTATAACTAGGTGACATGATATCTTGTTTAGATTGACTGCTTTTACTGAATTTAATTTATGTGAATTTGTAAAGCAGCTAAAGCTAAATGCTGGTTTGAAGTTTACTTTCTTTTGTCAGAAATGTTCCAAGTTTTTTGGCTTGAGTTTTCTTGTCTTGGGTTCATTTTATCAGCATGGTGCATGTGAGAAGTCAATTGGAAACTCTTTGCAGAAGCATTATTAGGATAGTTGCCATAGCTGGCGGTTGTCTGGTTCCTGTTTGAGATTTATGCTTCTGTAGGATAAACTCTTCTTTATCAAAAGTTGTTGTTTTCTGTTTCAAGATACCATGGATTATTCCTAATGACTTTAAGGGTGGTTTTACAGGGATGTAGGAATGGAGAATCATGTTCATTTTCTCATGATCTTCATCACCCTATAACTTTACCTGGCACAACTACATGCTTGCCAGAAGATGGTCCTGCAAATGCTACATCCCTTCTGCAATTACTGGCAGCAGCTGCAGATGGAAGCTTTCTTTTGTTGGATGACACTGATTTGCATTTCTCCGCAAACCTGGCCCACTTCTATGATCCTTTGAGAATTATCTCTACATCTTGTCTGACAGAAACATACATAAATGATTCATCATTGGCTGGGGTCAGAATCCACTGGGGCCTTCACCACCCTTACGAGACCATCATTTCCAAAGCAGGGGAAAATCCTATTCCTTGGAATGAGGTCAAGCTTGTGCTTTGGTTTCCTAGTCTAGATAGTTACAGTGAAAATTTGGACAGACAGAAACTTCTTGTGCAAAATTTCTTCGAGTATCTAGCCATCCGAATACTGGGTGATGCCCTCTATGAGGTGAAGGTTGTCCTTACCGTTAACAACATCAAATTTTCACAAATAGAGGTAAATCTTCATTGATGCACATTGTATTTATTGACATTACAGTCTCTCGTCATCTCCTGGAATATACAATGGTCATCAAGTTAGAAATTTCCTTCATCTATGTTTACATTGTAGGCTCTACATATAGTGACATGAAAATCTTGTTATCATTTCAGGTGGAAAGGTTAGCAAGAGAGAGCTTCTTCTTCCTTATCAAGTCGTTCCCATTTGATGAAACAAGCTTTGGGGAATTGTCAGATAAAATCACCATTAACAAGCCAATGATACAATCAAGGGCCGTCTCATATGTTTTCGACGTCCATCCTCCTGCTGATATCCAGTTCGGTGATTATGCTGCCGTTCTTCACAAACGTCTACATGATAATAAACCTTAAAACATTTTAGGAGTTATGGGTTTGTGAGCATAAATTCATGGTATAGAATCTATAGACGTATTGAAGAATTTTGTTTCTATGTAAATTCTGGATGTTTTTGTTCTTGTTTTGTCTAATGTAAAACTGAAAATAAGGTAAAAGTTTACTCAATTTGTCAACTTGACTTAAGTCACTGGTTTAAAACGAGTCATGACTTATGGGTAAAGATTCTGATCTCTGAACCAATGAACTCTGACATTTGGGTGGAGTTACAACTAGTACAATTGTATGATACGTCGGTAAGGGGTAGTCTTCTCAAACTATCACCTGCCCCCCAGTTTTCCATGTCTAAGTTCTAGCCGTGGAGCCTATCGGGTGAGTCACCGAACTGAAAAAATGAATTTGGTTTAATTTTAATGGTTTTTGGTTACTGTGTTGATTTTAATATTAACTAAATAAATTTTGGTTTAATTTTAATTGAATTTTTAACAAATCAAAAACAAAAAATGAGTTTTTTAAAAACTAAAATTTAAATAAATATTATAAAATATGATAAAATATAATTTATTATTAAAAAATTAATTAATATTTATTTAGTAAAAATCAAAACTAAACCAATTTTATTAGTACTCGAATCGATCGTTTTATGAAAATGTTGATTCGATTTCGGTTATCAAAATTGGAGAAAAAAATTTTCGATTATTTTAAATCGGTTTCGGGTCAACCGAAACCGGTTTTTGTCCACCCCTAGAAAACTACAGGGTACTATTGGGCCCAATCCGTTGCTCGATGGAAGTGGGCCTCATCAGATGCGTCTAGATTTAGTTTAGACCAATAAATAACAAGCTTCATGCGCATATATATTTTTTAAAAATATTTTTTTTAAAGGTTCTAGAATGTACTAGCACAGATCAGCTGTTTGTTAAAAACTGTGCCCTCCCAACTAAAACCAACGAACTGCAAGGTCAAAGAAAAAAAAAAAAATCAACAAACAGCAGCTAAATTTTAATTTGTAGCATTTTCTCCTCCCGAGGAAATTAGAAAAGTGTAAAGCAAAGCTTCATCCAATTCTTTCTCCATGTTTGTTCATAATCAGAAAGGTTGAATCTGTTACCATTCTTTCTCGATGTCACACAAGCCCCTAGATTCGCGCCATTCCATTGACTCTTGTGCTTTCCAGCTCCACTCCTGGAGACCTTTCCACCTCCAAACCCTAGACCCTGATCCCCAACAACACACCCCCAGACCATCTTCCAAAGCTAGCTTCCATTCCAAGCGCCCTTGCCTTTCCGATCGAACCACCTCCTTTCCGTTCGATCTTGCCAAGCTCAGCCTTGTGGATGATGATAAGTCCATAGCGGAACACCACAAGAGAGGTGGATTCAGGATTTTTGCTAGGAAGAGGAGGAGGCGGGGGTCGAGATCGGTATCGGGAAGGAGCTCGGACCGGAGCGGGACTCGGAGATGCTGTTCGGTTGGGGCTTCTGCGGCGTATGGTACTTGCTCGGATTTTCCGATTGCGGTGGGGACGGACTCCAGTGGGGAGCTCTTTGGGAATGGAGTGGATGCTAATTGGGCGTCCGATATTAGTGAAGCACGAAATTCGAGGAGGGATAGGGGGGATGGGGGTGGCAATGGTGGGAGTGGAGAGAAGGAGAGTGCCGGGTGGCAGTTTGGGGGGTTTGATGCGCAGGGGAACGAGTCTGGATACGGTAGTGAGCCGGGTTACCGTGGCGATGCTGAGTTTGGATATGGGGATGAGGTTGATGAGGAGGAGGAAGATGCTTGGGGAGATCGGTTAGAAGGTATACTCTCGTAAGCTCTTTTCTTTCTTTTCTTTTTTTTTTGTTCGTTTTGTGTTTATTTGTTTGGTTTTCCTGAAAGCAGCACTATTGGGCACCTTATATTTCTGAGCAATTTAGTAATGTGTAATCGACCATATGTTTGCATGGTATAGTCATTGGATTGTTAGCTTGAGCACCAGGAATGGCATCAATGGTAAATGGGTGACTTGGGTCGTTTGGTTACAGGGAGTCTTCTAGCACTCTTTGCTGTTTTTCCTTTAGATTTTTATTTTTATAAGGCAGTGCAGTCTGTCGTATAAGTGTTTAAGATACTGCTTGTTTGCTCCTGATGGTTTATAGGTAAGAATTCAGTAACAGTATGATGATTTAACCTAACTGGCATATATAGCAGATTCAATGTCAATTAAGTCTGCTTCTCTTTTTTGTTTTACATCTGGTTTCGAGAAAGTTAAGAGGCATGGATCATGAGCTTGAGTAGTAATTTACTATAGGACAGCATCTGGGGAAAAGAACACGCAGCAAAATTAGTAGAAACACTTTATGATCAAGAATGTGGGTTATTGTTGCTTTTCTTAGTTTGATTTTAGATATATGATATAATGGTAAACTGTTGTGGAAGTTTAATAGTGGAAGCATGCTGGCTTTTGTCTGAATGGGCATTAGAAGGTAAATGATCCAGGTTTGTTTAGTTTTGTTGAGTTGCATTATTTCTGGTAGCTCTGTAAACATTTGCATGATTTTGGTAGTGTGGCTGAGGAAGCTTAATTTCGAGTACAAGAACTATCTAGTAACCTTGCTATGTTTCATTTATAGGAGGTGTAAGTGGTATTCTCATATATGGTAATTTGGTACAGATGGTGAAAGATTCATTTTAAGAAATTATTCAAAGGGCTTAAATTTAAATACTGTATGGATGATTTGAAAAATGTGGTTGGTTGGGGCATCATTGAGATAGGACTGTACTTCTCTTTAGTGGGACTTGAGGGGGGGAATGCCATGATGTTTAGGCTTTAACATCATCCTACGGTAGGTAAATATTCCCTAATAGTGGCATTGTAATAGGCATTTCAAGAGATTACGGTTTTAGTAGGAGGAATGAGGATCAAACTTCATTTCTAATGTAGTTGGCAGACAGATTCAGTCAATATTTGAGTTTGCATTATCACTGTATTGTTGGTTCTTTTTTGCTTTGGTAGACCTTACTTTCTATTCACACTTTGTCCAGAGCAAGAATGTGTCATATGTAATGAGATTTTTCCTGATAAATATTAGAGCAGATCTGTTACATTTCTTTGTCTTGTGCTTCACTGCTGGATCAATGGATTCTCATCTTTATTCAGAGAATCTTGTAGTGTTTCTTAAATGCTATGTTTATTGGGGGGAAATGAATTGATAAAAAACAATTAGGATTTAGGCATAGAACCATGTGAAAATGATAATAATTTGAAAGAACTATTCTAGTTCCCTTTTGTCTGCTTGTCTTATCCTTATAATTGATTGTTCTTCATAAGCTGATTCCTTTTCCTTGCACTAGATACATATTCTAAAATGGAGATTGTTGGGGAGAACAAATTCTCTGATCAGAAAGCCCATCACAGGTGCCGCCGCAAGAAGCATGATTATCGAATGGTAGATGCACTGAGATAACTTTATTTTTTGGAATAAGGAAGAGTTTCTTGGTTCCAGTTTGTGATTGTTGGCTTCAAGGATTGCCACTTACTGGTGATTACTGTAACTGTACTAATACACCTTGTGCAGTCAGAAAAATTTACTTTTGTCTCTGCAAATGTTCTTTTATACAGCATCTATGTGTTGAGCGTAAAATGATTTTGAGGATGTATTGTATTCTTACAAGTTTATTGTAGGAAAAGAATTGTGAAATGTAGAATTGAAGTTCAAGTTTATTTCTCAAAAACTCTAGTCATGTTGATCAACTTGGCTTGAATCCTTTCTGAAGATTATGAACAATTATGCTTAGAGCCTCTGAAGTTACAAGGTGATAAAGAAAAGTAAATATTATAGGAAGCAAATTCAAAATTTCAAAACTATGGATTAAAGGAGAAACTAAATTCCTTTGTATAATGGATACCTACCTTCCATCCAACATCCACCAACTCAACAAGAATTCTGTAAAATCTGGACTGGTAAAGGTAAAAGGTTCCAGTCAAGTAAAGTGAAAACTATATACATTAGGATATAATTGAAACAAATTTAAAGGTCAGCGACCTAACTGCAAAGATTATATGCTTGGACCCGATTGAAATTGAAGGGGTCTTCATGGATTCTCCAAAAGGAAACGAGAGTATTCTAAGCGGAGGAGAGTGAGAGAGAGATGGTCGGAGGAGAGGCACTGAGCGCATACAGGGCTCTCTCAAGAGCCACCCGGAAATCATTCGTCGGCGACACGATGATGTTGAATGCCTCCGTCGCCGAGATCCGCAAGAAATTCTAGGAGAATCGTCATGTCACCTCCGAATCCGACATCCAGAGACACCTAGAGGAGGCACGAGAGGCTTCCCATTTCATTTCCACCATGAACGTCCAAGCCAAGCTCAACGACCGTGGTGGCTACGGTATTGCAAAAAAGAGCTTACTAGAGTATTTCTTGACTATATTCAGTACTTAGATCTTTCACAGAATTCTTTCCAAGGTTCAATAGCTATATATGTTTCTCCAAAGCATGACTTGCTTGACATTTCATTGTCTTTTTAACAATCACTTGGGTGGAGCGTTCAAGGCAGTACCCGGACAACTTTCTAAATTAGAGATTGTATATGTTTTTAATACTCAATTGAATGGTAATATTTTAGATAGCATCAAATAACTTTATAAGTTAGAGACTCTAATCAATTAATTAAGTAAAGATTCTGAATTCGAATCGTATGATATTCGAGTGAAATGAGATAAAAAATGAAAGATAATTATCTCATTGTACAACCAAGATAAAAAAAAAAAAAAAAAACTCTATATCTTTTTGGTAATTAATTGCGTGAGAATATTTTAGATAGTATTGGACAACCTTTTAAGTTAAAAGACCCTATATAACTATATCTTTCTACCAAAGAATTAAGTGGGGGAATTTCAGATAGTTCTAAATAATGTTGAACAACTTTTTAAATTAAAAAATATAGATCTTTTTAACAATTAATTGAATGAGATAATTCTAAACAATATTGTTAAATTTTTATTTAAAATTTATATTTAAAAAATTAAAAAATTAAACTAAGTTTATTATAAATAATTATTAAAAATAAAATAAAAAATTATAATTATTTCTAATAGTCAAATTAAATACACATAATATTTTTGTATAGGCAAAAGGCCCATAATAATGGCATAATGCTCATGCAGAAAGGGTTTAGATCTATGAGATCGAAAGAAACAGAATAAAAGCGAAAGTGGGAGTGCCTCTGTTTTTGACATTTTTCTCAATCTGACATAAGAAAGATTGAATTCTTTGTTTTCTGTTGCAAACATAGAAACTGCATAAGAAAGAAGATTAATTGGACCTAAGGAAGCCTAAAAGGTGTTTCGACGTGGACACACTGTAATAGTTTTAAACTCAAAGTTGGAGGGAGGAAGTTACAGACATGGAAGGGCTGCATAGGAAGGAGAATAATAATAATAATATTATTATTATTATTATTTTGATGATTGGTTGTATAACAGGGAACAACTCTCTCTCATCCTTTACTCTACGTCATCGTATGTCATGCAATTCGAACTCATAATCCCTTACTTTCAATCGAAGGAGATTACCATTAAACTAGTCAGGTCGTTGACAAGAAAAAGAATATTACTAGTTTAATGTATCAAGCAAAAAAATAGGCCAAAGGGAATTGACTTATGTTTTTAGATTATTATTATTATTTTATTACTCAATTCTTAATTGACTTTATCCATATATGATAAGATTTAAACTTAAAATATTTTATTGTTTTAGGAAAAAGATTATCATTAAACTAATTAAATTGTTAACAAAGACTTTACTGTTTAGATAGAGTTCTAACATTACCAAAATAAAGTTGGCTGCTAATCAACAATGTGAGATCTACTGTATATAACTTTCTTCATCCATAATTCCTTTTCCCTCCTTTCACTGGAAAATTAGATTGCATTGTCGGTTTTATTGTTTTTTTATTGCCATAAAGTTGCATTGTAGATGTTTAATACAACATTAAAAAAAAAAAGTTACAAGTACCAATTATATTAATTAGCACTTTGATTTAATCATAATTTTTTTCGAAGAACTAGAATTTATGAAAGCTATTGCCATGGCTGCAACTGCAAAGGGTAATAGATCTGGGCAGTTTGGTTTCGGAAAAGGATAAAACGCATTGAACAGTCAGACAAAAAAGAAAACAAAATGGGACGCCCACAGCCAGGGACAGACCCAGGAAATTGGATTAGGGGATGAGAATTTTTATTGAAAATTTGAGTTTTCAAATATATATATATTTTTTTTTTGATTTGTCGCCCGATATCCGGGGCTTCGCCCCAACTAATCTGGACCTGACCCGCGTCGCGCACCTGAAAATGGTGGGTGAGTCTCTCAACAGAGGTTTCTACGTGCACAAGATCTCGAACTCGAGATCTTACTTAAGCTGGAATAAGTCGCTTACCACTTGATCTAACTCTTCGTTGGTAGTTTTCAAATATCTTTAAAGACGCTAATTTATTTTTTAAAATTATCTTTTTTTT